TTTTCAAATATCAATCCAAAGGCTAAATTCCACCATTTTAATACAAGAGAACTTCATATTCAAACCCCATATACATTTATGTAATCCAACATGGAAACCCCTCTTTTCAATTTAAATCCAAACCCTAAGTTTACCCAAATTACTCCCAAATCTCACCATGTATACATAACAACAAATAACTAGGTCAAAGATCATAACAGAGTGTAGAATATCCCTATCTCAAGATTAGAAGCCCAAAGAAGAAGTGGAGAAACCTCAAAGACGCCCAAACTCGATTTTATTCGGATCAAACGAAAGCCCATGGGATGCTCTATCTTTTCATTAAAGGAAGTAGGGCGGAGAGATCCCTAAATCTAGATGTATTTATAGAGAAAAGTCAAATTTTAGAGAGAGAGAGAGAGAGTTGATCTAGGGGTTTTTAGTGAAAGGATAGCAAAAAGTGATGTAAAAAAGAGCTGCTTCGAACTAATATATGCGAGGATCACTCAAGCGAAGGAGTTGTCGCTCGAGCAACCAGACACAATTAGTGACCTCGCTCGAGCACAAGAAGCATTGCTCGAGCGCAAAATATATGCCTTCAGAAGTTTTACAAACGCACACCGTCGCTTGAGCGAAGAACATCACCCTTCTAGAATCTCTGTAAGCCTGCAAAAATGCTGGGAGCTCACAAAGCTTGTTCGAGCGCAAAAAGCCTCGCTCGAGCGAAGAAGAAACTTTCTAGACAGCAACAACTTGAACAACTAGCAACCAACCTATCCCAAACATGCCCAAGGCACTCCAAAACTCCAATTCAAAGACAAATGAGGGAAAACAAGACATGAATAAAAATATTAAACCACAAAACCCGAGTCTGGAATATAACAAAGGTCGGGTCAAAACCGGGATCGCTATAGTGTTGGGATGAGATTGGAGAGAGAAAATTGTTAGGGCTAGGTATTGTTTAAATTACTACTGATAAAGTGCATAATATTTGAGAAAGATTGAAGGCAGCTCAAAGTAGACAAAAGAGCTATGCAGATAATCGGAGGAGGGATTTGGAATTTCAAGTTGGAGATCATGTATTTTTGTGAATCTCGCCATGGAAGGCAGTAATCTGATTTGGTGAGAAAGGCAAACTAAGTCCAAGGTATATTAGGCCATTTGAGATACTAGAGCGCATTGGCAAGACAGCTTATCATTTGGCTTTACCACCTAGTCTATCTCGCATTCACAATGTGTTTCATGTATCCTCGTTGAAGAAGTACATGCCTGACGCATCACACGTGTTAGATTTCTAACCAATCTGACTAAAGGATGATTTGTCTTACGAAGACAAAGCCATAGAGGTTATGGACAGGGTTCTAAGACTATGCCACTAGTAAAAATATATTGTGGAAGAATCATGCTTTGGAGGAAGCTAATTGAGAGTGGAAAGATGATATGAATATTCGATAGCCACATCTTTTTCAAGGTATGAACTGGACTAAATAAATAAATTTCATGGAGGAAATTTCCTTTAAGGAGTAGAACTATAATATTCCCAACATTCATCTAGAGCCAAACACACTCCTAAGTTAAACTCCACTTAGGATATCAAATCCAACTCCAAACTTGATATTAGGTGTGACCAAAAACCCCATTTCAACTAAAACAAAAATGCAGATTTTTACTTCATTCTCTTCATTCTTCTCTCTCTTACTTCTCTCTACATTCTCTCTAATTTTCCTTTACTTTCTTTGTGGCCTAACAACCCACCTTTGCTCCACCCTTACATCACCACCTTAACCTACCATCTCCACCACCGCCGGCCATTTTTCTTGCAGAAAAAGGTCCGATTGGCCACTCCGTAACTCTATCCGAAAATAACACAATAGTAGTACCAACTCTAGATTTTTCTTAATCTTTTGAAGAACCAAAGCTTAGGGTTTATTTTCTTGATGGATGAAAGGCTTTTGATTGGTAAGAATCTTTCTCCAAAAAGTTTAGTTTAAGGTTTTACATATTTTGAGTTCAAGATGATGAATTTTTATTTAGACCTATATATTGAAATTGATTTGATAAATGGTGGATTGGGTGTCTCTATATTCTATAAATGATTTTGGAGGAATTTTATACGTGATTGAAGTGGTTTTACCTAAGTTGTTGAGTTTATGCAAATGTTGATTTTTGACTTTTATGGTTTAATTGATGGTGGTATTGTGCATATAAATTGGTTGGATATTTAAAAAGTTAATTACTCGAAAATGTACAAAGGTTGGGTGTTGTGGAGATTGGATAAGTTGTTTGTTTGGGTGACTTAAAGTTGGAGGAGTTCTTTAGCTTGGTTTTAGCTCTCATTCCATAGCATGTCTTATTTAAGATCAATTTTGTAGATGCTGTAATTTTAATTGAAAGCTTTTCCCTAATTTTAGATCTTATTTACTAATTGTTAGGATTGGAGGAAGGTGTCTCTACACCTCTTGGGAATTAACTCATAGAGTTTCAAATCTACGCTTTTGTTATTTTAGAGGTGAGTATACTTACCATGTAACTTTACCTTATCTCTATCTGTAAAACTGAGTTTGAAAATTATTTGAATTAAAGGGAGTGAATGACACATTTTATCATGATATATGTATACAAAGAAAATCTATAAATCTATTGAGATCAAAAGGTTGAGTTTAAATAAATGTTTGCATTTGTATAATGAACCATTTATTTTTTTTTTATGAGAATTTATTTGCGTCTTTCAATATCAAAATCCAACTCCAAACTTGATATTAGGTGTGACCAAAATCCCCATTTCAACTAAAACAAAAATGCAGATTTTTACTTCATTCTCTTCATTCTTCTCTCTTACTTCTCTCTACATTCTCTCTCATTTTCCTTTACTTTCTTTGTGGCCTAACAACCCACCTTTGCTCCACCCTTACATCACCACCTTAACCTACCATCTCTACCACCGCCGGCCATTTTTCTTGCAGAAAAAAGGTCCGATTGGCCACTCCGTAACTCTATCCGAAAATAACACAATAGTAGTACCAACTCTAGATTTTTCTTAATCTTTTGAAGAACCAAAGCTTAGGGTTTATTTTCTTGATGGATGAAAGGCTTTTGATTGGTAAGAATCTTTCTCCAAAAAGTTTAGTTTAAGGTTTTACATATTTTGAGTTCAAGATGATGAATTTTTATTTAGACCTATATATTGAAATTGATTTGATAAATGGTGGATTGGGTATCTCTATATTCTATAAATGATTTTGGAGGAATTTTATACATGATTGAAGTGGTTTTACCTAAGTTGTTGAGTTTATGCAAATGTTGATTTTTGACTTTTATGGTTTAATTGATGGTGGTATTGTGCATATAAATTGGTTGGATATTTAAAAAGTTAATAGCTCAAAAATGTACAAAGGTTGGGTGTTGTGGAGATTGGATAAGTTGTTTGTTTGGGTGACTTAAAGTTGGAGGAGTTCTTTAGCTTGGTTTTAGCTCTCATTCCATAGCATGTCTTATTTAAGATCAATTTTGTAGATGTTGTAATTTTAATTGAAAGCTTTTCCCTAATTTTAGATCTTATTTACTAATTGTTAGGATTGAAGGAAGGTGTCTCTACACCTCTTGGGAATTAACTCACAGAGTTTCAAATCTACGCTTTTGCTATTTTAGAGGTGAGTATACTTACCATGTAAATTTACCTTATCTCTATCTGTAAAACTGAGTTTGAAAATTATTTGAATTAAAGGGAGTGAATGACACATTTTATCATGATATATGTATAAAAAGAAAATCTGTAAATTTATTGAGATCAAAAGGTTGAGTTTAAATAAATGTTTTCATTTGTATAATGAACCATTTATTTATTTTTTTATGAGAATTTATTTGAGTCTTTCAAATTTTATGATGATAATGATTGAATGACAATGAAACGTTATGCAAAAGTATTTGTTTTTATTGATCATATAACCGAATATAGCCTGTGGAGCCACAAGGGTCGGAATGCTTTGGGGTCCTGGAGACGGAAATGTTTTAAGGACCATAAGGGTCGTGGTACATAAAGGGTCGTAGGGATTGAAATATTGAAATGAGAATTGAAGTGCTACGATGACATGAGTTATGTTCCTATGGATATGTTTTGGGTAACAATACCGTCACCACCTAAGTCGCGAGATAATGCGACCCTAAGGCTATGTAATGGTTCGTATGATGAACATGAGATCATAATGTATTGAAATGTTGTATTTTTTTTGGTTTACTTTCCTTATTCAACTGTATTTTTCTTGCATTATCAGATTCTTTGAAAAGAAAAATCTTGATAATGGTTTATGCAATATTTTTTTCATTTTGTCTAAATTTCAATGCAATCAAGCTCTTATGTTTATTATCTTTATTTTGAACCCAATTGGAAGGAACAAATTTTATAATTCCATGGAATTGGTATACACATTGGGCTCTAGCTCATTCTTTTAATTTTTTTTTCCAGATTCCTAGACTTTAGCGTGGCTCACCTCAACTTGGAAGATTAGAGTTTCTAGAGGATCAAATATGGGCATTTGTAGTTGAGGTTTTTGCTTAGGGTCATTCTAGGATGTAGTTTTATCCTTTGTTTTTACGAAGGAGGTTGATTGTAAATATTTGCTTTATGAAGTTGGAGGTAATGATGGATTCATGAATAGTATTTTCGGGGGGTAGTGATGCATGGGAACTATCATATGATGATATTTTGTCTTCGAATGGATCATCTGATATGTGTTGGCCAATCAAAAGGTCTTATGCACTATTGGAGATGTAAATATAAGGATTATATAGGTGATTATTGTGTACAGGTGCTATAGTGTTTGAAGTGCATCCTCTTGGCATGGTTTGTCTTGCCGAGATTGGGTCGTGGCATTTTTCGTATCAAAGTGTTAGGGTATGAATCTGTAGACTTGTTACTTTAGAATTAAAATTGATAGGATATGGTAGTTAGTAATTCAATTATTGATGATGTTTAATAGTGATCTAGTACTCTAAGATTTAATTGTCTTGTTATATTGGGACATATGGCAAGGCGAAAAGTTCATAAGAGTCGCCCCCTTATAGAAGTACTTGAGGCTGAGCGAGAGCCACATCTTAGTGTTGGAAATGTTGTTCCACCTCGGGTTCAAGAAGAAGAAATGGAACATGAATCGCATAATGAGCAAACTCAAGAGTCAAATGCCAAGCCAGAAGTGGGGCTTTCAGATGGAGTTGTGCCACCAAGGGCTAATGCAGCTCCAACATTTTTAGACCCTAGTGTGCAGCGCCTTTTAGAGTCTATGGCTAGCCTAGCAGAAAGGAAAACTCGCATCATTGAACAACATAATGTAGCACAGGCCAAGCCATTGGTGCAACCTATAGAGAACCGTCTCACAACAATTGAGAGGTTTAAGAAGTTAGGGGCTCTATCATTTTCTGGATTGCCAAGTCCTATGGAGGTAGAGGCTTTGTTACGGAGGGTAGAGAAGATATTTTTAGTGATGGAAGTACCAGACGAGCAGCGAGTTACATTTGTTAGTTTTATACTGGTGGAGGAGGCCGAATATTGGTGGGAGGCAATGCAACGCCTACTTACGGAAGGTGGCACCAGAGGATTGACCTGGAACCAATTCACAAAGGTTTTTAATGACAAGTACTTTCCAGCTACCTATCGGTATGAAAAAGATAGAGAGTTCCTTCCAGTAGAGCAAGAGGATTTGAATGTAGCCCAGTATGAAGCTAAGTTCATTTCTTTATCTCATTTTCCCCCTTCATTTGAGGATGATGAGGAGGTTAAATGTCGTCATTTTACAAATAGATTGGATTTGGATATCAACCTTGTATCTGAGTATTGGGAATTACTAACTATCCAACCTTTGTTGATCAGGCCTTAACAGCTGAGAAATATGTCATAGAAATGAAGTTAGCAGAACAACAGAAGAAGTGCCACCTTAGTTCATGCCATCATGAGAACACATCTAATAGACCTTCCAAGAGAGGTGGTCATGGTTATGGTTTAGTCAAGAGCTCAAATGCATGCCAAAAAAATAGAGAGTATCCCACCCTAACCCAAAGCATTTCTAATCAGCGTCATGGAAAGTCTACTGGGGCATCATCTCAATTTACTCGAAGTGTTTGCCGGCAGTGTAGGCGAGCAAATACAAGCGTATGTCATGCTGGTACCGAATTATGTTTTCATTGTGGCCAGAAGGGTCATTTGGTGAAAGACTGCACAGTTTCTAAGATGACTAATTTGGGAGATACACGAGCTTGCTTCAATTGTGGGCAACCCGGACATTTGGCTAGAGATTGCACTCGAAATGCTTCATCTACTAGTACTGTAGTTGGTAGTAATAGAGTTTTAGGTGGAGGCTGAGGGGGAGGCCGAGGGGGAGGGCAGGTAAGGGCTAGGTTTGGCAAGCAGAATAAATGAGGTGTTCAATCTGATAGACAAACCTCACTGAGGAGAATTTTTGCTTTGACTCAATGGGATGCTCAAGCTAATCCGAAGGTGGTGACATGTATTATTTATGTCTTCAGTAGGGAGGCACATGTACTTATGGATCTGGGTTCTACGCATTCTTTCGTATCTCTATCATTTTCTTTGCATGGTGATAAACCTATTGAACCTCTAGGCTATTGTTTATCCATTATTACTCCATTTGGGGATTGTGTTATAATTGAGGAGGTATATCAAGGTTCTGTACTACAGTTGGGAGATAAGGAGATGGTAACGGATTTATTGCCTTTAGGGATGCTTGATTTTGATTTTATTTTAAAAATGGATTGGTTGGCTTCTTACCATGCTACAGTGGATTGTTATAGAAAAGAGGTAGTATCTTCCAATTTTGGGGAACCTGAATTTAGATTTTGTGGAGATCAATGTGGGTCCCCATCTTATGTTATTTCTGTTATTACCGCTAGAGAAATGCTTAAGAAGGGGTGTCAAGGATACTTAGCCTATGTGGTTGACTCCGAATTAAGTGGTCTAAGGTTGGAGGATATACCAATTGTGCGTGACTTCATAGATGTTTTTCTTGATGAATTACCTGGATTACCCCAAGATTGAGAAATTGAGTTTGCTATTAACTTAATTCCTGGAAATACCCCAATTTCTAGTGCACCTTATCGTATGGCCCCAACGGAACTTAAGGAGCTTAAGATGCAATTACAAGAGTTATTAGATAAAGGCTTCATTAGGCCAAGTGTCTCACCTTGGGGGTCACCTGTGTTATTTGTGAAGAAAAAAGGTGGCACCATGAGATTGTGCATTGACTACCGGCAGTTGAATAAGGTCACGGTGCGTAATAAGTATCCTTTGCCTCGTATAAATGATTTGTTTAACCAACTTCAAGGAGCATGTGTGTTCTCCAAAATTGATCTCAGATTGGGGTATCACCAACTTAAGATTAAGGAAGGAGACATACCGAAAATAGCTTTTCGAACTCGCTACGAGCATTATGAATTTCTTGTTATGCCTTTTGGTCTAACTAATGCCCTTGCCGCATTTATAGACCTTATGAATAGAGTGTTTCAACTATACCTTGACCAATTTGTGATTGTATTTATTGATGACATACTTGTTTATTCAAAGAGTCAAGCAAATCATCAACAACACTTATGGGTGGTATTGCAGACTTTATGAGAAAAAAAAGTTGTATATGAAGTTTAGCAAATGTGAGTTTTGGTTAGATCGTGTCGTATTTTTGGGGCATGTGGTTTCAAGTGAAGGCATTTTTGTAGATTCGAAGAAAATAGAGGCTGTGGTGAATTGGAATTGTCCTACTAACGTGACCAAGGTGAGGAGTTTTTTAGGGTTGGCAGGCTAATATCATAGATTTGTAGAGGGGTTTTCATTGATTGCAGTACCATTAACACGTTTAACCCGTAAGAATACCAAATTTGAGTGGACGGAGAATTGTGAAAAAGTTTTCAAGAATTAAAGAAGCGATTAACTTCTGCCCCAGTGCTTACTATTCCGCTAAGTGGTGAAGGATTTGTTGTTTACAGTGATACCTCTCATTAAGAGCTCGGTTGTGTGTTGATGCAACATGGAAAGGTGGTGGCCTATGCATCTAGACAATTGAAAAATCATGAATGCAATTATCCCACCCATGATTTAGAGCTCGCATTAGTTGTTTTTTCTTTAAAGTTGTGGAGATATTATTTATATAGGGAAAAATGTGAGATATATACCGGTTATAAGAGTTTGAAATATTTATTTACACAGAGGGATTTAAATTTGAGGTAAAGGAGATGGATTGAACATATTAAGACTATGACTGCACCATTGATTATCATCCCAGAAAAAGTAATTTGGTGGCTAATGCTCTTAATCGGAAATCTACAGGGAGATTAACTCACATTCAAGGCATTCAATTTAGTCTCTTACATGAAATAAAATCTATTGGAGTTGATCTAGCAGCTGGGAAGTCAGGATCCTTGTGAGCTACAATTAAAATGAGACCTTTGTTGGTGGATCACATTCGAGAGGCTAAAGGAAAAGACTCAGTTTTGGAGAAGACCTGAGCTCGAGTGAAAGAAGGTGCTCTATCAAACTTTGTTATTAAAGAAGATGGTGTATTGATGTTTAAAAATCGATTATGTGTTCCAAATGAGCCCTAGATAAAAGGGAGATATTAGATGAGGCCCATAATTCACCTTATGCAATGCATCCGAGGAGTACAAAGATGTATCAAAATTTAAGAGAAAGTCATTAGTGGTCAAATATAAAGAGAGAGATAGCAGAATTTGTGTCAAGGTGTTTAGTACATTAGGAGATTAAAATAGAGCATCAATGCCCAGCCGGTTTACTTCAACCTCTTCTTATACCTGAATGGAAATGGGCGCATATCACCATGGATTTTGTTTTGGGCCTGCCTCGCACACAAAAAGGGCATGACTCTATTTGGGTGGTTGTAGATAGGTTGACCAAATATGCACACTTTTGGCTACTAAGAAAAACTTTTCACTTGATGGATTAGCAAAAATTTATGTGGATGACATTGTGAGATTGCATGGTATACTAGTAACTATTGTTTCAGGCAGAGACTCACGCTTCACATCCCACTTTTGGCCTAGTCTTCAAACTGCCTTGGGTACTAAATTGAGATTCAATATAGCTTTTCACCCCCAAACTAACGGGCAATCCGAGAGGACAATCCAAACTTTAGAAGACATGTTGAGAGCTTGTGTCCTAGATTTTCCAGGTAGTTGGGATGAACACTTGGCCTTAATAGAATTTGCATATAATAATAGTTATCAATCAAGTATTGAAATGGCTCCCAATGAAACTTTATGCGAGCGAAGATGTAGAACTCCAGTGTGTTGGGATGAGATTGGAGAGAGAAAATTATTAGGGCCGGAGATTGTTCAAATTACTACCGATAAAGTGCATATTATTTGAGAAAGGTTGAAGGCAGTTCAAAGTAGACAAAAGAGCTATGCAAATAATCGGAAGAGGGATTTAGAATTTCAAGTTGGAGATTATGTATTTTTACGAATCTTGCCATGGAAGGGAGTGATGCGATTTGGTAAGGAAGGCAAACTAAGTCCAAGGTATATTGGGTCATTTGAGATACTAGAGCGCATTGGCAAGACAGGTTATTATTTGGCTTTACCACCTAGTCTATCTCGCATTCACAATGTGTTTCATGTATCCATGCTAAAAAAGTACATGCCTGACCTGTCACACGCGTTAGACTTCCAACCAATCCGACTCAAGGATGATTTGTCTTATGAAGAGGAAGCCATAGAGATTGTGGACAAGAAGGTTCAAGTGCTACGTTCTAAGACTATACCACTAGTAAAAGTATTATGGAAGAATCGTGCTTTGGAGGAAGCTACTTGGGAGTAGGAGGATGATATGAAAATTCGATATGCACATCTTTTTCAAGATATGAACCGGACTAAATAAATAAATGAATTTCATGGACAAAATTTGCTTTAGGGGGGTAGAATTATAATATTCCCAACATTCATCTTGTGCCAAACACACTCCTAAGTTCAACTCCACTTAGGATATCGAAACCTAATTCCAAACTTGATAGTAGGTGTGACCAAACACCCCATTTCAACTAAAACAAAAATGTAGATTTTTACTTCATTGTCTTCATTGTTCTCTCTCTAACTTCTCTCTACATTCTCTCCCATTTTCCTTTACTTTCTTGGTGGCCAAACACCCCACCTTTGCTCCACCCTTACACCACACCCTTAACCCACCATCTCCACCACCGCCGGCCATCTTATCTTGCCGAAAAAAGGTCTGGTCAGCCACGCCTTCACTCTATTCGAAAATAGTAAAATAGTAGTACCAACTCTAGATTTTTCTTAATCTTTTGAAGAACCAAAGCTTGGGGTTTATTTTCATGATGGATTAAAGGCTTTTAATTGGAAATAATTTTTCCCTAAAAAGTTTAGTTTAAGGTTTTACATATTTTGAGTTAGAGATGATGAATTTTTATTTAGGCCTATTATGATTTGGGGTTTGATTGTTGAGTTTTACACTCTCAATTAGTTTCTATGAATGTTTTGCATGTAGAAAAATGATCAACTTGATGGTTGTTTTGGAGATTGAGATTTCGGTTAATCTAGGGTTTGAATGTGATGCAAAAATTGGGAATTTTGTTGTTAGTAAATTTATATGTTGAAATTGATTTGATAAATGGTGGATTGGGTATCTCTATGTTCTATAAATGATTTTGGAGGAATTTTATAAATGATTGAAGTGCTTTTACCTAAGTTGTTAAGTTTATTCAAATGTTGATTTTTGACTTTTGTGGTTTAATTGATGGTGGTATTGTGCAGATAAATTGGCTGGATATTTAACAAGTTAATAACTCAAAAACGTAAAAAGGTTGGGTGTTGTGGAGATTGGATAAGTTGTTTGTTTGGATGACTTGAAGTTGGAGGAGTTCTTTAGCTTGGTTTTAGCTCTTATTCCATAGCATGTCTTATTTAGGATCAATTTTGTAGATGTTGTAATTTTAATTGAAAGCTTTTCCCTAATCTTAGATCTTATTTACTAATTGTTAGGATTGGAGGAAGGCGCCTCTACACCTCTTGGGAATTAACTCATAGAGTTTCAAATCTACGCTTTTGCTATTTTGGAGATGAGTATACTTACCATGGAAATTTACCTTATCTCTATCTGTAATACAAAGTTTGAAAATAATTTGAATTAAAGGAAGTGAATGACACATTTTATCATGATATATGTATAAATAGAAAATCTATAAATTTATTGAGGTCAAAAGGTTGAGTTTAAATAAATGTTTTCATTTCGTTGATGTTGTAATTTTCATTGAAAGCTTTTCCCTAATTTTAGATCTTATTTACTAATTGTTAGGATTGGAGGAAGGCGCCTCTACACCTCTT